CACACACTGATGCATACTTTCTCCCACGCCCCCAAATGCCAGGCCTGCCAGCACCAGCAGTGAGTGGCGCTTGAGTGCAGGAAGCATGAGTGTGCTAGAAGCTGAGAAGGGGGCGTCTCACACTCACCACAGCCTCCCTGCAGAGCCGTTTAAACACACACAACAGTGAACACACAAGACTTTAACTCTTTCGTGTTTTACAAATTAATTGTTCACAAGAAAGTTAACAGAAAATACAGTAAGAAAGGAGACGGTTTCAAAAGGCCTACTGGATGAGGTGGATCATGCCTGTAATCTCAGCACTTTGGAAGGCAAAGGTGGAAGGAATGCTTGAGCCTAGGAGTTTGAGAGTGCAGTGAGCTATGATGATGCCACCACAGTCTAACCTGGGTGACAGAGTGAGACCTTGCCTCAAAACAAATAAAAAGCACTACCTAGTTTCCAACATTCATGTCTTGGTACAAAAACTGTATTTAAGCAATCAGGGGCTTTACAAACACTTTATGCACATATACATTAATTCCTGACATACATATGTTAAAACAGTTCACGAAAAAAGAAAAAAAATAGTTCATGAAAGGACCCACACAGACTCATTCTCTAACTCCTGGACAGCAGAAGTAGGCAAAGCCTGGTTCCAAGTTCAGGCCATAGCTTTAACATCAAATTATGATATGAAAAGGCTGAGTGTTTTTGTGGGGAAAATTCCCAAATTCCACTAAGGTAAAAAGAAAGCTCAGAAAGTGAGAATGATACCCCCAGGAAGATGGCTTAGCGTGAGAGACAGCCATTGTTTCTATCCAAAAAGCTCACAATGGGCGGCGCCTGTGGCTCACTGGGTAGGGCTCCAGACCCACATACTGAGGGCGACAGGTTCAAACCCAGCCTCGGCCAAACTGCAACAAAAAAATAGCCGGCTATTCTTGCAGGCACCTGTAGTCCCAGCTACTCAAGAGGCTGAGGCAAGAGAATCACTTGAGCCCAAGAGTTTGAGATTGCTGTGATCTATGATGCCACAGCACTCTAACAAGGGTGATAAAGTGAGACTCTGTCTCCAAAAATAAAAATAAACAGTATATCTAATTAAAGGTTCTTTAATGTGGCCTTATTTGATTACAATTAAATTAATGTAGCCTTCCAACAAGAAAAGGTTCCCGGCTCGGCGCCTGTGGCTCAAGCGGCTAAGGCGCCAGCCACATACACCTAAGGTGGCGGGTTCGAATCCCCAGCCCGGGCCCGCCAAACAACAATGATGGCTGCAACCAAAAAATGGCCGGGCGTTGTGGCGGGCGCCTGTGGTCCCAGCTACTTGGGAGGCTGAGGCAGGAGACTCGCTTGAGCCCAGGAGTTGGAGGTTGCTGTGAGCGTGATGCCATAGCACTGTACCCAGGGGGATAGCTTGAGGCTCCGTCTTTAAAAAAAAAAAAAAAAAAAAAGAAAGAAAGAAAAGGTTCCCCACCACTGGTCTAATGGATATTTTAATTTAATTTAATTTTTTTTGAGACAGAGTCTTACTATGTTGCTCTCGGTAGAGTGCCATGGTGTCACAGCTCACAACAACCTCAAACTCTTGAGCTTAAGCCATTCTCTTGTCTCAGCCTTCCAAGTAGCTAGGATTACAGGCGTCTGCCACAATGCCCGGCTATTTTTTGTTGCAGTTGTCATTGTTGTTTAGCTGGCCCAGGCTGGGTCAAACCTGCCACCCTCCATGCATGTGGCCAGCGCTGTAACCACTGTGCTATGGGCACTGAGCCTGGATATTTTTATTTTAGTGGCTACATATTTATTTTAATAAACTTTCAGAAAAAATATACAGCCAACATCTGTGATTTCTTAGATATAACTGCTCAGGATATGTCTAAGTTTAACAAAAGTTGACTTTAACTTGATTTTCTTTTTTGTAATTAAGTACTAGTTCAGGCAAAATCAAAAACACTTGACTCTCCCTGATCCCAAGGTACTATTCTTCCAGGGCTCCCAGCTCAGTAAATGGTACCACTGCTGTTCAAATCAAAGCTCTGGAGTCTTTGATTCTTCTTGCTCTACTGTGCACCCACATCTAACCCACCAGCAAATCACATAAGCTCTTCTTCCAAAATACAGCCACAACATGATTATTTCTCACCAATTCTCTGCCTTCACCCTGGCCAGGTCACTGTCATTGCCTACCTGGATGAATTTAGGAGCTACCTAGCAGGTGCCAGACTTCAGCCCTACCCACTCAAACTCAACAGAGTATCTTTCTCCAATCATAAATCAGATCTCATAAGGCCCTAACTGAAAATCATCCAGAAGCTTCACATCACACTCAGAATGGAATCTGGAGCCCATAACAGGATCAAATAAAAAGCCAAACATGCCCCCCAGCTCCCTTGGACCTTGGCTACTAATCACTTTTCCTCATGGCATTCCACTCTAGCCATAGAGAGGTTCCTGAAATAGACAGGCCTTTACACCCCTGCTTTCTTGGGCTGAAACACCCCATGCAGTCCCTACTTCAATTCATCAAATATAGAAGTCTTCCCCATCACCCTGTCCAAATGGCCCCTCCACCACTCTGTAAGTGAATCCAGACTATTCCTCAAAGCACCATTGAATGATGTAGTTTAGATTTTTTTTTTTTGAGACAGAGTCAAAAATCATAAATTGACCTCAGTAGAGTGCCATGGCATCATAGCTCACAGCAACCTCCAACTCTTGGGCTTAAGTGATTCTCTTGCCTCAGTCTCCCAAGAAGCTGGGCCTATAGGAGCCCGCCACAACACCTGGCTATTTTTTTTTTTTTTTGCAGCTTTTTTTGGCCGGGGTTGGGTTTGAACCCGCCATCTCTGGCATATGGGGCTGGTGCCCTACTCCTTTGAGCCACAGGTACCACCCAGTTTAGATATTATTAAAGCATATATCATCTGCATTTGTTCATTGTTTATTGTTTCCCTTCCTATACCATAAGCCTCACAAAAGCAGAGTCCCCTATACCTACATGATGCCTGCCACATAATAATAATTCAGCGACATTTGAAGGAATGAACAGCAGATGTTAACTGACAGCAGAATTGAAGGTGTAAGTTCATGGCCAGAGTGTGACCATGCCAGGCTAGCAGTATAACACGTGGGTTCATTTAATACTAACAATACTCCCAAAAGTCCTCTCAGATTAGGGAAACTGAGGCTCAGGTAATGACTAAGCCCAAAGTCATATGGGATTCATACTAAAAGGCCTGAGTTCTTTGAACACATCAAACTTTCTTGTACTACATTGCTGGGTATAACATTCCACCAAGTGTCTACCAGCTGACCCTAGCACACCCTTGCAAGTATTACATCAGCCAATCTTCAGCACTACTGTAAGCCCCTCACCCTCTCTGAGCTGGTCAAATTAAGCTGCTCCACAAGCCCTCAAAACACAGACTTGGAGTACCAATTGCATATAACATTAGTCTATGAAGGCTCATGAACCCTACACAAGCACATTTAAACAGATGTCCTCCTGCAATGTCCCTCCTCCCTTTTGCCTGGCAAACTCCAACTGTCCCTCAAAGCCTCTGAAGTTCTCTGCTACCTGCCCAGGGATCCTAACGTAGGTACACACAAACATGAGTGTGCCTCACACATTGTACTAGTGGTGTATGCTCCTCCTCCCAAACAAGACTGCAAACGTAAGGGTAGGCACCAAGCCTCAATGATCTTCACACTCCCAGGCCCAGTAGCCACAGACAGGCAGCTCTCATAAACATCTTGCTGAATGCTGGTGTTCCAGCTGCTTGGACGCTTGGACACCCCGCGAGAAGGGATTTGCTGATCATCACAAGGGAGGGGACTTGTGTAGACATCTCTGACTTTCCCTTGCCTTGCATCTTTTTTTTTTTTTCCTCCAATGATCCTCCTGCACCAGCTTCCCGAATAGCTGAGACCATAGGCATGCACCAAGCCTAGTTAGTTTTCTTATTTTTTACAGAGACAAGACCTCCCTGTGTTGCCCAGGCTCAAGCAATCTTTCCACTTCAGCCCCCCTCAAAGTGTTGGAATTTCAGGCAGTAAGCCACCAGACACCGCTGTTACTTACTTTCTAGCACAGGAAGTAGACAAACCCATAGAACCCAGGAGACCAGCACCCTACACTGGCAGATCAGAGTAGCCCACAGTGCTAACATGTATGTGCATCTGCACGTCAGAAGGATGCTGGGGCTGAAAGACAGCGTCAAACTTATGAGAGTTCACACTGGTGCTAGGGGGTGAGTCTCCAATCTTCCCACTCCCTGCTCTCACCTTTGAAAGCAAACCCACTCCCTGCTCTCACCTTTGAAAGCAACTGAGGCTGAAGGAGACACAGTGAGTTAGAGCCAGGCTAGAACCCAGAGGCCACCATTCCCTATTCCTTCAGTACAGCCCAGAGATGAAAGAGGTTTCTGGAATCGGACTGTCTAGTTTTAATGCTAACACTAACCAGTTGCATAGCCTTGGGCAAATAACCAACTGTCAGTGACTCAGTTTGTAAAAATAGGAATAACTATAGAACCTATCTAATGGGCTGTTGTGAAAATTAAATTTACAAATGTAAAGCAAATAGCACAATGCCTGAGATACAATAAGCGGTACACAAGTGGATGGTGCTATTATTATTATTTTTATACGACTGCTCGGTCGCACGGTGGGCTCACTACCTGGGCTGGCGCCACGTTCCCTTCTGGCTGCAGGGGGCTCCCACCCTCAACACCTGGTCGAGGTGCCAGTCGAGCAGCCAGCAGTCCCCGCGCCCTTGACCACCGGAGGGCCGGCCAGGCAGCGCGCACACTCGGGACGAAACTCTCCCCAAGTCCCGTGCACGACAGGCTCCGGGCCTCGGGAGTGAGGGGCTAGTCCGGGGGAGGGGGCAGCGGTCACATTCCGCCACAGAGAAGGAAGCAGTCCAAAAGCGGATAGGGAGCTGTTCCTGAACCGACAGCCATCCCTACCCCCCCAGGCTCCCAACCCCTGCACCAAAGAGCGGGCCGGTTCCTCACACTCTGCAGCAGGCTCCTCCTCTGCGCCGCCATCTTGGAGGGACCACGGCGGGCGCTCCCGCCTCCCGACAGAGCAGTGAGAAGGGCGGCTAGAGCGGCCCGAAGGAGCCGTGGAGGACCGTGAGGCCAGGGAGCATGCGCCCAACGCCACCCCACGGCCGAAGACGAACTTGTGCGCATGTGCGCTCGTCTGTCGGTTTTCTTTTGGGATTGAGCCGGAACGTACCAGGCGCCTTCTTGGTCCTGACCTGACTGCTACTCGCCCATCTTTGCGCACTTTCTCCAGTCGACCTTTCGGATGGGTGCTTCTAAGGTCCAGGATTAGCGGGGTTGTTTTTGTTGTCTTGGAGGCAGAGTCTCATTCTCTTGCCCGGACTAGAGTGCAGTGGCTTGTTCATACATCACAGCCACCGCAAACTTCTGGGTTCAAGCGATCCTCCTGCTTTAGCCTCTCTCATAGCTGGAACTATACAGGCACGTGCCATAACCGGCTGATTTTTCTATTTTTTTGTAGAGACAGATTCTCACTCTTGCTTAGGTTACTCTTGAACTCCTGACTTCAAGTGATCCTCCCACCTCAGCCTTCTACAGTGTTAGGATTACAGCCATGAGCCTATGGTACCTGGCCTATGGATTAGCATTCTTTGTGAACACAGTGAGGTCAGGGAAGGACGAATTATTCATTGGGCAAATGTTCATTTGGTCCATAGTGGGTGCTGCAGTGAGCAGAACAGGCCTTACGAAAACTAACATAGCCTCACTTTGTCGCCCCCAGTAGAATGCTGTGGTGTCATAGATGACAGCAACCTCAAACTTCTGGGCTCAAGTGATCCTCTGACCTCAACCTCTCTAGTAGCTGGGATTATAGGCACCCATACGCACAATGCCGAGCGATGTTTTGGAGAGGGGTGCCTCACTCTTGCTCAGGCTGGTCTCAAACTCTTGAGCTCAAGCAGCCCACACAGCTCAGCCTCCCAGAGTGCTGGGATTACAGGTATGAGCCACCACCCCCACCACCCCCTCAAAAGCTAACATTTTAGTTGGTGAGAACAGTATATACATACACAGGGTATTCCAAGTGCTTCTAAATGCTAGAAAAAGAAGTTTATGGATGGTGGCATGAAAATGTGGCATTAACTGGCAACAGGGAAGAGCAGGCCAGATGGAGGAGTAGCTAGTGCAGAAGATCCAAGGAAAATAGCCTGTGGGTCCAGGAAGCATTCATGTCACTGAAGGTACTATGGCTGAAACAGACATGGAGAAAGGGAAAGATTAAATCGGTGTGGGGGAGGCTCTAATTAAGTGGGCCCAAGACAGGAATTTGGCTGTTCATCTGGAGGGCAGGGGTAAGATGTTGACTTTTAGGCAAGCCATTGACAGGGTCCCTTTAGTATAATGATCCTTTTGACGTCTGTCAACAAAACAGATTTTTAGGGGGGTTGAAGTGGGAACAGAAAGAGCAGTTAAGGGATGGTTGTAATAATTCTAGGCAAGAGATAAATGATGGCAGTAGATGGATTTCATTCAGGAGATGAAATTGTCAGGACTTGGTCTGGCTTGGTTGTTAGGGGTGATGGAGATGTATCAAAGATTCTTCCAGATTACTGCCAGGCATAGTGGCTCACACCTGTTATCCTGGCACTGAAGCAGAAGAATCACTTGAGCTCAGGAGTAGAGAACAGCCTGAGAAAGAGTGAGACCCCCATCTCTGCAAAAAAAAAAAAAAAACAGAAAAATTAGCTGGGCGTGGCAGCACATGCCTGTAGTCCCAGCTACTCAGGAGGCTAAGACAAGTGGATAACTTGAGCCCAGGATTTTGAAGTTGCAGTGAGCTATGATGACACCACTATACTTTACCCAGGGTAACAGAGTGGCATTCCATCCCCAAAAAAGGATTCTCCCAGATTTCTAGCAAGGACAGCTAGGTCTAGGGGGAGGGAGATGGGAATGACCATGATTTCAGTTTGGACATGTTGAGTTTGAGACATGCAAGAAGAGAAGTTGAGTCAGTCATGAGATAAAGGGACCTGGAGCTCAGAGCAGAGGCTAAGCCAGCATAGACAACAGAGAATGAGTAGCCAGAGAGGTGGGGGAGCACAAGGCAGTATAGAACCCAAAGCAAGGAGTGTCCAAAGAGGGCCTGGGCAAGGTGTGTCTGAGATGCTTCTCAGAGGTCTAGTTAGAAGATAGCTGAAGAAAGTCCATTAGATGTAGAGGCCTGGTAGCCCTTGGCCCAGGCAATTAAAGGTGGAATGTATAATGGCGGGGTAGAAGAAGACCTCCAGGGAAAGGTGGTCCTTTCCAGTTGGTGGGCTTTACAAGATAGACAAGGGTACATGGGATTGAGAAAGGGTTTTTACTTTAAGGTTGGGAGAATCTTGAGTCTGTGTAAATGCTGAAGGAAGGCTTTTTTCCCTCTTCCTTTCCTCCCACCCTCCATTCATTTCTTGTTCTTCTCTCTCTTTTTTTTTTTTAAGGTGGCCCTGTGAATTCTTTATTTAAAAAAGCAGGAAACTGAAAGTGGGAAAATTAGCCACCAAAGCCGTACAGAGTGCGACCTTGATGCTTGAGTGCATAGACAATGTCCATGGCTGTGACAGTCTTGCTTTTGGCATGCTTCGTGTAGGTGACAGCATCCCGAATCACGTTTTCTAGAAACACTTTCAACAAGCCCAGAGTCTCCTCATAGATAAGGCTGGAAATGTGCTTGACACCCCCATGACGAGCAAGGCGACGAAATGGCAGGCTTGGTAATACGCTGGATGTTGTTCCGAAAGACCTTATGGTGGCGGTGGCGCTTAGTACCCCTCTTACCCGGGCCCTTCCCACCTTCCCCTTGGCCGACATGCTGAGCAGAAAGCAGAAGTCTCAGCGTTAGTCCTTCCTTCTTTTTTTGAGACAGGGTCTCACTATGTTTCCCAGGCTGGTCTTGAACCCCTGAGCTCAAGTGATCCTCCCACCTTGGCCTTCCAGAGTGCTGGGATTACAGACATAAGCCACTGCACCCAGCAAGAAGGGAAGGCTTAATAGAGAAGAGCTAATGATTCAAAGGGAATTGGGAGAGGCAGTCTGAGGCTCACTATCTTGCTATGTTTCCAAGATAGCTTCACATGGCCCAAAATGACTTCTTGTTCTCCAGCCATTCTGCTCAAGTTCAACAGCAGGAAAGAGGAAGGAAGGAAGATGGCACTTATATTCCCATCCCCTACCCACCTAAAAAAAAATATTTACTTGCAACCAACCTCCCTTCCCTTTTAAGGAGACCTGTGGAAAGGAGTGCGACATGTTGCTTCTGTCTATATCTCATTGCCTATAACCCAGCTCCATGGCCACATGTGGCTGCAAGGACAGTCTGGAACCGGAGGTTTAGACTGAACTATAATGTGCCCAACTACAAATGGGTTTTTGTTGCTGAAGAAGGGATGGGAGATATCTATTTCTCTATTTCTCACCCCAAGAATGACTCCCTCAATCCCTTTTCGTCATTTAAAACCATTCATGTTATTTGCAGCAAATTTCCCAAGGGCAGGAAATAGATACCAGGAGGCTGTGAGCAGTCTCTGCCAGGAAGGGGCTGGGAAGGACAGGTTTGAAAGAGAATCTGAAATGAATCAAGGCTGGGAACCCAACCCACCTTCACCCTAATCCCAGCTCCTGTCATCCACCTGCCCTCCTTTAGCCTCAGTGTTCTCCTCTGTAATATGGGAATGACAAGCTGCTTAACAGATGCCTGCCCAAGGGAAGGTCTGAGCTGTGGTAGGCACTGATGTTTTTTATGTTCTGATACAATTTCAGTTTTCTAAGATAGTAAATACACATCGATCAGGCATTGCTGAATGATTTTTCATCCATACACTTACTTATTTCTCACTCTAACTTTGTGAGGTCATAATTGTTCTTCTTTTTTGTTTTGTTTTGTTTGGTTTTTTTTTTTTTTTTTTGAGACAGAGCCTCAAGCTGTCCCCCTGGGCAGAGTGCCATGGCATTACAGCTCACAGCAACCTCCAACTCCTGGGCTCAAGCGAGTCTCCTGCCTCCGCCTCCCAAGTAGCTGGGACCACAGGCACCCGCCACAACGCCCGGCTATTTTTTGGTTGCAGCCATCATTGTTGTTTGGCGGGTCCGGGCTGGGGATTCGAACCCGCCACCTTAGGTGTACGTGGCTGGCGCCTTAGCCGGTTGAGCTATAGGCGCCGAGCCTTGTTTGGTTTTTTTGCAGTTTTTGCAGTTTTGACTGGGTTTGAACCCACCACCTCTGTCATATGGGGCCAGTACCTTACTCCTTTGAGCCATAGGCGCGGCCCTCTTCTTCTTTTTTAAAGCAGGAAAGTCCAATTCAGCAAGTCGCCCAACAGATAATGTCACAGGTTATCCTACTCCAGGCCTTCCCTGGCACCCCTGTGAGATAAGCAGACCCTCCACACCCCTTCACAGCTCAGCCTCCAGGTAACTACTTGTAGTTTCCCAAACAGCCGCATAACCTGCCTCCACCCTTGGACAAGCTCTTCCCTCTGCCCAAAGCCTTTCCCACACTTGATTACCCAGTGAACTTCTACTCCGTTTTCAAGGCTTGTATTTAATGAAATCCCTTTTCAGGAAATGTTTTTGATTTTCACCCCAAGAATGACTCCCTCAATCCTTTTTCATCATTTAAAACCATTCATGTTATTTGTGGCAAACTTCCCAAGGGCAGGAACTATGGTGATTCAGCTCTGGGTTTCCTTACAAGCTCTAAAGAAGCTTCTTGGCAAATGTTTACATCATCAGATTGGTTAAAGAGTCAGACAGAGACTGTGGGTGGAGGGAGAGTAATTGGTGGGGCCATACCTCTGGTGCATCTTACAAGGGTACATGTGAAATTTACCAGGTGTAGGATATAAATGTCTTAATACAATAACTAAGAAAATGCCATGAAGGCTATGTTGACCAGTTCAATGAAAGTATTTCAAATTGTATGTAAAACCAGCACATTGTAACCTATGATTGCATTAATGTACACAGCTATGATTTAATAAAAAAAAAAAAAAAGAAAATGCTGTGAAGACTGTTAATGAGTTTGATGAAAACATTTCAAATTGTATATAAAACCAGCACATC